TTCCTCCTCCTCCTCCTCCTCCTCCGCCTCCTCCTCCTCCTACTCTTCTCCCTCTCCTCCATCGACTCTTTTCTCAGTACGCACTTTGTGGTTTACGAAAGTCGTTTGAACTAAAGCATAGATCTACTGGTAGACCTAACTGAAAAACATGACAGACAAAAACAGCAAAGCCACGAATTTATTGCTTCCACACGAATGTAGACAGACCCTACCCAAGGGAGTTAACCAATATAGTTTTAAAACTTGTGATAAGACCCCACAGAGTATCTTCCCGTGTAAAACCCCCGCCTCGAATTTTTGACCGTATATCAGCAGCAATTAGTGCGCTCGTCTCCGAAGCGGAAAGTCCGGGTTCGAGCCTCGCCCCCTTCTGTCCACCCAGCAGTAATGGAGTTGGGGAAGTAAAGGCGGCGTGAAAAGGAACTGGCCACCCTACCAGAATATATTATTCCGAAGGCCCAGGAAGTTGTCTCACTAAAAGGGCAATCCCCAATGTCCGGATCGGATGCGGGAACAACTTTTACATCAGCAATTCCCTATTGCCATTTTGTGGGATGGAGAAATCATCACCAACGACTGTAGTGTGTCGGTCAAACACTTTGTGGCTGCATGAAAGAGAGACTCGAGTTCGATTCTCGAGTTGGGAGAATTTTTATATAATAAAAAGGCCTTTCTGCTGAGATGTTGTGTCCCTCTCAGCTCAGGTTGGCCCTAACAGACAGGGTCTAAGCCTAAGCCCGCATCCCAAACAATCGAAACAGCTACATTAAAAAGTAGCCATGCTGCATAGATATTATGATAATGCATTCAAAACATGGTACAAAGATCTAAATACCAATGCAGTACGTTTCCCAGTGACTTATGGTCTTTTCACAAGATCCGAGAACTGCTCCCAACCTCACACACTTTTGTGAGTACAACGTCTTCCCAACCAAAATTGGTTTGGTGTCCTTGCAATCCCTGATGGTTATCAAACTTTCCCCACTCTGCTATTCGTCTTTAAAAAAATCCCCTACCCTCGACTTTAAAAAAAGAAAACCGCTGAGAATCCCCCAAATC